ATTTCCAAAGGTAATAAGCTTAGCAAAACCACCTTGAGTTGGACACATCTGGGGGAGATTGGCAACGTTAGAAAGGGGAGGTCCTATTTACGCACGTCGAACAAGGAGCAAGAAAAGGTCTTTACATTTGAAGAAATGTAGCAGTGAAGCTCAATGCTAAATTCTTCTAAGAATAAACATTTGTTTTGTGTTGGGATACTAAGAAAGTACAAACTCTTTAGGGTTGTTTTGATTTGACTGGGGACCAAAATTGTAAAATTTGTTACATTTTCAGCTTGTTGCAGCTTGTTTTCATACCCTTTGAAAACCTGTTCCCCTCCTCACCTGTGGTGGCGCTGCACCAAGAACCATTGATGGAAATGACACAAAAACATCAGAAGAAGACATGAGTGCAACTTCCTTCTTCAAGAAATGCAAACAAAAATGTAGTGGCGTCAGATTTTAATGGTTGTAGGATTTCTCTTTTGTCTTTGGCAAAAGACCAGGAGCCATTTTTCCCACTAGCGCTAGCGCTAGCCTAGCGTGTTTGTTTTGGTTGTATTTAAGTTGGAGCGTCTTTAAAAACAGTCGCTATGGATAATGCTAATATCTTTGTTATCAGGATATTTATGGTAAAAATTGGTTAATGCTTAAAAAATGTCTATTTTACAATTCAACAAGAACTTACTTTTGTAGCAGGTCCAACTGCAGGTTTCTAGCAGAATCGCCCGGCTGCTCATAATCCCACCGGCCGCTCTGGACTTTTATCAGTTAAGCATAAACATGTGCTGGTCTTGAACTCTTGCAGGAACCATGAATGACGTCTTCTCCATAGAGGCCTGGGACTCTGTGCCAAAGATAAACCAGTTGTTACATTAGTCATCCAGATTGTTTTAAAATAGGATTTTATCTGTCACAATGCCTCAAATCCCCATTTTTGTTAGGAATCCATTAATGTTATGACCCCAGAGTGATAAAAACTAAAGGCTATGACATGTTTTTTATACATTATTGCAAAAGTTTTGCAAGAATTTACAGATATTTACCACTTTTCTCTAAACAGATAATATACATAGTGTATCAAAATAGAAGGTACTTGAAAGCATTTTTCTTTACTGTTTATTTAATTATTAACACATAATCAGTGCCATCAATCACTGTGACAGCCACCTATTGTCAGCCTGGCTGTCATGCTGCACCACTGCTAGAGAGCATCTATGTGTGCATAAAGGGAGACACAAGCAAAAAGAGAGAGAAAGTGAGAATATTTTATTTAAAAAATGAAAAAAAAAACAATAAAGTGAAGATGGAAGATGTAGTGGAAGGAAAGGAAGAAAAAGGTGGTCAAGATTATCTACACAAACACAATCATGGCGTCTGTTTTAAGTGTTCAAAGCTTAGAGACTAGATCTGAAATGATTAATCGTGATTAATTGATCACTGAATAATCGATTAATTGACTCAAGTTGCATATTTAACTTCCCCTGGTTCAAATTCTGTTAAAAATATAATATTAGGCACCTTTTGCAATCTACTTATTAATCCAAAAACTAATCAGCAGCTTAACAGACAGTATTTTTTTAGCTGTCGATGAATCCTTTGCTACAAATGACCAAGCAAACATTCAAGGAATGTTATGTTATTGGATTTTAGGCATTACATATTTCTATTTTCTCTAAAAAAACAAGAGAAAAAAAATTTAATTATTTGCTTGTGTCTTTTAAAATACTTTTAATGTATTTCTAGTGTTGCGCAGAGAAAGGCTTAAGTGGTTAAATGAAAAATCTGCAGAATGTGATTTTTTAAAAATATTTTTTTACAACCGATTAATTGTCAGAATTAAGCGTCAAAATGTTTTACTATAATGTGCAGCAGTGACTCTAAAAGTGAGGCTGAAGTAAAACAGATCTATAATTTCCAATCACACTTAGAAATCGATGGTAAAAGCGTGTTTTAAAATGATCAAACATTGCTAATATTTCAAATGAAGTTTCTATTTAAGATGACAATATTTCATAGTAAATATCTGCACAATAAAACATCTATTTAAACATCATAAAGCATGAATAGGCTTCAGCAGATTGGCCATTTTCTTTCATGTATTTATTGAGCTGTGTCTGGAAACAAAGAGGTTTGCCTGCTTCAGGGTCTCTTGAGTCTTTTTTTGCTTAAAACGTCCTCTTAGCGCAACAAAGACTCCACAACTGGAGTCCTGCTGTGTGGGAAGCGTTTTGTGTCTTTAGGTCTTGATTTATTCGCATTTTGGTTCAACACCTGCTGCTTTTTATGCTGTGGATGTGCCAGTTTAGAGACTGCTGGAGCTTTGTTATGCACTATAGGTAGTTGTGAAGCACCATCGTTTCTAATTTATTTCATAAATTGGACATGAAGAATATGGGAAAGAGATAAAGAGAGTTTCAAGTGGACTATGGTCAATCAATCACCAACCTACAACAAATTTACCCTAGTTTTTGTTTAAATTCGTGATAAATGATCTGTACTTAGCACTTTATGAAGTCAGACGACTCCAAAGACAAAAGAGGGTGAAGCGTCTTGGCCATAAACACAACAAAGTGACTGAGACAAAATGGCGGCTTGAACCTGTAGCCCATGGATGACATAACTTCACCCCCAGACAAATTTAGGAAAAAATCCACCAAGAGACACTAAGGGGCGTGGCCTGCAGTAGCCACCATTCAACCCACAGAGGGCACCACTGAGACGGTTACCACTTTTCTTTAAACAGATAATATATGCAAAATATTTCACAATTTTCACAGAAACATAAAGATAGCATCCTTAAAAATCAATTTATTGAGTTTATCGGCAAAAAAAGTTGATCTGGGGTTTAGTTAGTCTTTAAACCAATGCCTTCGTCACAATTTCCAATCTTAATGGGTATTGTTATTTAGTAACTCTAGTCTGGATTTACCAGTTTCTTGGTGGGACTTATATTAATAATTTTGCTAATTCTAACTGACCTAAAACAAGAAAATTATAATCTAATTTAACTCGAGACCTTGAGAACAAAAAAAAAAGTGTATTTGTCTTTTTATTAGGATGTGAAAATATCTGGTCTCAGCTGTCAATAATATTTTCTCAATTCAGGTTTTTAATCAAACGTTAGATTGAACTTTACTGCAAAACGGTGCAGTTTTTAATACCAGGCACTTTCAAACACTTTCCAACACTTAAATTTCAAATATTTTCAAGGATTTCAAGCATCTGCACAGGCCCTGAAAAAGTTTGAAAAGACCAGCAAAAGCAGAAGGAATCTGCAGGGTGCAAATACTTTTCCAAAATCCACTTACTTTTTCCAAAAGGAGGTAAGGAGCAGAAAGTTTTACAAAAATTTGTTTAAAGAAATCGCCCTTGGTTGCAGCGTTCAACCTCGTCACAGAAGTTCTTTAGAACCGCGGAAAAACAGTTGATACCAAACTGGGAACACTGGCAAAAAAAAAGAAAGAAAAAAAAGACGACTCCCTTCTGTGGAATAAATCAAAACCAAAGCTTGTTTACTGGGATCAGGTGGGGGTCACTGCGGGCCCCCAGGAGGGGGCTGCTGTTTTCATTTCCTCAAAACTACAATAATTAAATTAATAAAAACTCAATGGGGGACAGGGAAATGGCAGAGGAAGAAGGAAAGCATCTGGACGAAGGCTCGGATTTCAGATTTGCCTCGGAAAACGATATTGATCCGAGTGCCAAACGGAATTAAGGAACCGAACGCGGCGCGCTTTGAAGAGAAGTTTCTCTGTCGTTATCGTAAGCTGCTATAATCCATCATATCTGGGAATCAAATTAACATATATTTACATGAACACACACACACACACTTTTTAATGCCCATACGTAATTTCTCCGTCTCTTTCTAAGACACGTGCGCTAACACACACAAACACAGGGGCCAAATCATTACTGTAGGTTAATTAGTGTTATAATTAATAACCCAGCAGACACACACGTGTGTGTATGCGTGTGTGCGTGTGTGAAGAGAGGTCGGGAGTTAAATCATATTAATTTCAACATTGATTAAGCAATAAAAAAAGACTTTTAACTAGCGGGGGTGTATATCACTTCGCCAAGCAGGCATCGCAGTTTAAATCTATGTATTAATTAAAATGTGTGTGTGAGTGTGTGTCTCGCCAAGCTTGACGCTGTGGTTTCTGGAGCGAAAAGGGATCAACACTCTTTAAGTGAGATAAAGCAGATTTTAGGGGCAATGACAGCAAATCGTGGATCTGATTCAGAGAAAGGAACGGAGGAGGGGAGTGGGATCCAGGGAGAGTGTGAGAGGTGGAGATAAAGTGGAAAAAAGGAACAAAAAGGAGGGAGAGAGTGGCTGACTGCTGTGTGATTGGATAAGCAACAGTGACTCTTTGAAATTGTGATCTCCTCAGATATGCATTTCAACGTATAGCTTAACTTTTCTCATATAGATAACAGCTTCGTTAGCCGTAAAACTTCGTTAGCCGGTTACCAACTTGAAAGTGTTTCGGCTTTAATTTCTAAGAAGACAGCAGGAAGTTGGGACTGATCAGCTTTAAAGAGGTGATTTTTTTTTCTTTAAGCCGCTGAAAGTTGGGCTCGTATGGCAGCAACTCTGAGGTTTCCTCCAGCGCTGCTGGGGACGTAACCGAGGCGGAAAATAATCGAGTCTTAACAGTGCTGTTGGAGAGCCGCGGTGTTATTGGCTGTGTGAGGCTGCCAAGGCTTTCCCAAGGCCCTGCAAGGCCTTGCTGAAGGTGAGCGCGATAAAACATGGCGGCCTGGAAGGTCACACCTGCAGCAGGTGAGATTTCTAAGCCGTTTTATCAGCACGAATCACAAAGTCTGAAGACAGGACAGGCTTTAAAAGTGACCCACTATGCTTCCTTGAACAGGCTGGGATTGTGGCCTATACAAAACATGTTCATTACAGATTCTGCACAATATCATTCTTTTGATTTTAGTCCATTTTGAACTCCTTTCAGGAGCTAATTTAAATCCAAATAAGATGTTGGTGGTCTCGACTAAAATGGCTCCAAACAGACATGCAATTACACAACTGTACATCTTCGAAAAGCAGAAGGTCAGCCTTCTGCACAACCACCAAGAATGCAGCAAGTGGCTTACCATCCTCCACTGCGAAGACAGAAGAGCAGAGCCAAATGTTAATCCAATATTTGTAAGCGATGGTAACACGGACTGAACGGCTTTGTTCATTTTCTCTGCTGCCATTTCTAAAACTACAAATGATGTCATCGTTCACAACGTCTCCTTCTGTTCGCTGATTGACTCAGTTGAAATTCTACATTAGGGAATCCAAGTAAATGAGGAAAAGGCCAGACTGTGATGTGAAGTGAGATTAGAATCAAGTGAAAATGTGCAGGAAATGCGTAAGAAATGCGCAGGAAGGCAGACACAATTTCTGGTAAGCTTCATAGCGTCATAGCCAAACGTTAGCTATTGGGTAAAATCAGATCCAATCATTTTAAATTTTAACAAAGTGAACATAGAACAAGAGGCTGGGAGTGTTTATGAGTGAGGCGCATCTCATAAACCACCGAATCTCAGTTCCCGAGGTTCGGTGGTTTCTAAGAACCAGAGGCGATCCCGAACAGAAGTGAACTGCACCAGTGGACCAGATGATCCACTTCCTGTCTGTATGCAGAGGTTATTGTTCATTTAGACTTACATGTTATTTTGGTTGTTATAACTAACTAATGCAAAACTGGAACCAGAGCTGTTTTCAAGCTCATTTTACTCTAGCTAGCTTGACTTGTATTTCTTAAATACGACTAGTTGTGTTTCCATCACAAATGTACTCAAATCTCTGTCTATAAATGTTGAAAAAACACAATTTCACCATTGCATTGTTTAAATTAAATAAAAATCATATGTGAATAAAATTATTGATACAATCAGTCACTGAAAATCATGGCAGTGACGACAGTAAACAGTTATGTGTCCATAATTTATCCATGGTGCTAGCGCTCATCTATTGGCCAATCAGAGGAGAGGTCAGCTTAATATTCAGTGTTTTGGGGAAATTGTAGTCTGTGATTTTACAGAAGATTCAACACACAACTTTTTATGCACTGAGTAAAGCTGTGAAAGCTCTGGAGGAGCCAGCTAAACATTGTATAAAAAATAAAAACTATCATCATCCTACTACTTCCTGTCGTCTTCTTTGTCGTTTCCGCCAGTAGTAACATCCGGCTGTTGATTAAGTAACTCATCTGGTGTGAAAAAAGTGTTTCTATTGCAGTTTTGCAAAATACAGCCGAAAAACCACCTCAAACTTTTTAATCAAAAAGTTTGAGTTTTTCAAATTTGGTATGTTTCCTTCAAGCAATTTTATTTTTCTCACTACAATTTGCGCAATTTCATAGACCGTCATTCTGAAGAACCTTGTAAAGAAGCTCCCTGTTCTGGGGCAAAAGTGATGTTACAACCTGAATGAGTTCAGAAATATGTATAACAAAGCCTAACGTTATGTCTTTTGAATCATATTTTCATAAATGCAAGTCTTTAACAGCAAGAATGCGAACGATTCTCTGCAGAATGAAAAGTGAAGTGAGGTTTAAGGACACACAAACACTTGCGGATTTCTCACTTTCACTCACGCATACACAAATAGTCACTGCAGGGTGTTGAAGGGAAAACTGATGAGAAGATCAATCATCAGCTGTCAACAGCAGCTAATAGAGTATGAGAACAACATATTAACAAAATTGGTTGGATTAACACTCACACACATACATACACACCCACATACACTTTAAGTGTATCAAAATATCAATTAAAGTGTTGATTATTGATCAGTTTAATGGCTGATTAGGTTAGCAGCAAAAAAACAGAAAGAAACATTTAAAGGTAAAACTGGTAGGAAACATTCAGATCAAGATTTCCACCCAGGTGCAAAGATTCACTTAAAAATGCACCGAAAATCTACAAATCAAGCTTCATTTTACTGCTGGTCAGTGTTTCATTTAGTGGAAAACAGATTATTCTCCATGAAAAATGACTGGCTCTCCTGTAGTGTTTCCAAACATCAGATCTGTGAGGGCGGTTCAGTTTTACAGATGTTCATTTTTACACTGGAAATGAAAGTCATGCCGAAGGAAACGGTGAAGGCTCAGCGCAAACAGCAGCTTGTAAACGGAGTTGGAAAACTCCAAACTGAACGTTTAAACACAAGCATCGACATTTTCAATGCAAAAATGTAGTAAAATATGGAAAAACACAGTTAAATAATCCCCACCCCCAATGATTATGAATTAGGGCTTTTATATCAAACAGAATAAAGCAAAAAATGTCTTGACAGCAATTTTTTTATTGGTAAACATCTGGAGAAGTGATGTTTTGTCCAGAAATATAGACTTAGTAATCGTAATTAAAATGTTTTAAATGAACCTTTTCAAAGAGTTTATGCTTTTACGAATCATACCAATCCTTTGGAAATGAGAAAATGTTTTATATGCCTTCAATTAACATCAAACCAATTAAAATGTGCACGTAGCAGTGGGAATGCTTGTAAATAGTGACAGATTTGATCTAGTTTCTTGGCTTTCCTATGATTTTTACACATCCTTACATATTTTGCACACTTTATCAATATTTATTTCCTGTTTCATTCCATTTTGTTACCCCACAGCTTAATTTTTGGACAAATTTACTTTGTATGTGTGAGTTTCTTAGGTTGTCGTCGGTGTCTATGTGAATTTCATGTCAATTAAAAACTTAGAAATACATTTCCTGTTTATTGCTAAATGTATCATTTTATGTTCATTATTTTCAGAGGGATTTTAGTCTTTTCCTAGTTTATTTTGGATGTATATTAACATCAAACTGTCAACGGAAAAGCACATGGAAACTGGCCGTGGGCTATAATCTGGCATATTTACAAACAAATATCAACTGTCGCTGTTTTACATAAATAAATCTGAAAACAAGGATTATTTTTTGGTATCTTTGTCTTATAAAGAAATGTAAAATACGAGGGTATTTGTGTTGTATTCCTAAGCTAAAATGAGCTGGTAAAACTCTGATAAAAGTATCCATTTAGTTTTAAAATGTAGTTAACTACAGAAATTAATTAATTTCTGCTTTTTCCTGTCAAGATTTTTAAAACAAATATTAGACTTTATAAATTATATCCTCATTTCATTTTTTTCTTGCTAAATGAAAAATGTATTCATTTGACATCTGAGTTAGTGTGAAACTGGTTTTAATAAAGAAACAACAGACTAAAAATAGGACTGGGTCTTTAACAGCAAACTAAGGCAGATCTCCTTTCTTTGACCTCCTTAATGATCCACCGTGTGTGTGTGTGTGTGTGTGTGTGTATGTGTGTGTGCTGACCTTTCCCCAGTGTTAGCCAGTCTGAGCCATCACAGGAGGTATTAATGGACTAATCACATTAAACAGAGAATCATTAATCATCTCCCCTCAGCGCTGTCACTTCCACGCAACGCCTAATCAACTCTATTGTTTACACACACACACACACACGCACACGCTTATGAACACGCACAAATACAGGAAACAAGTGTGCAGCTGTGCATGCAGAAAAACACAATGAGATGAAAACTATGAACTTCTTTTCTGTATCTTATCTTTTTTAATCGTTTTTACGGCTTTTTCCGTTTGATTCACTAAAATCTTCTCCTCTCACCCTGTCCATCTCTCCTCCTTCCATCATCATCCTCACTCCGTTTCTGCTTATTCAGCAGGGGCGTCATTAAGATGCCAGCTAAAAGGCGAAAGATGCACACACACTTTGCATCTTTAATGATCACACACATGGCTGGAAGTGACACAGTGCTGAACCAAGCTAAAAACTTTCATCGTAATCCTTCCTCAGAAGCTCATTCCTTCGCTTGATTTTAATCAAATATCCAGCAGAGTTACTGATCAGCTGTCACAACTCTGAAGGGCCCCTGTTGTTTTCTAAGCGCATTATCAAAGATGCTTGATGAATGCGTACCGAGGTGATTTTGCTTAAGTAGTTTGACCTGAAGTGGTTTTTAAGAAAGTTTTACACCAAAAGTGATAGATATTTTCTGTCCTGACAGGACTGACAGGACTGCAGAGGCTTATTTACTGACATAGTTTTAAAAAATTAAACTTCATGACATGGTCAGATTGGAGGCTTTTAGGAAAATACTGGATAACAGAGTCAGACAGAATTTTATTGATTGATTTATTGATTTTATTTAAATGGGACAGTGTGTATTAATGAACGTACAACACCGGATTTAGCAAAATGCTAATTTCCATCTGTAGCCCCATGAAACAAACTACACACATACAATTTCATAGCAAAAACACAATAAAAACTATACATATAAATGGAAAAGCTATATTAAGAAGGCTAGTATCTAAATACAAATTTAAAAAAAAATGTTTTCTGAACTCACAAAAAACTCAAACTTTGCTAAAGCTAAATTTTTATTAAATTTAAATTTACTGTTAAATACCTGCTAGTTTTTGTTTTGTTTTTTGTTATTATGACCCAATAAAAAGACAAACTGAACCAAAACCAACAAGGTTCCAGCTGAAACCACAGCTACATGAACAAAAGACCAAGTCAGTTCCCTGCGTGAGCTAACGAGCTAGCAAGTAAGCTAACAAGCTAATAAATTGATTCAAAATAAAAGTCCCTCAATTATTTCTTTAATGATGGTTCTGGTTCGAGAAATGGAACAAAGATGGCTTTGAAACTTTAAATTTCTCACTATTTGCTGTAAAAATCTAAACATTTTTTGTTTCACTTTCCCAATTATGCAAGAAGGAAAACATCAACTTTGTTCTAAATGTTTAAATGTCTTGATATGTAAGCCCTAAACTACATTTACATTTTCAAAAATTACAAGTTGAACATAAAAATATCCCTTTATGTAAACTCATTTACATACATACCTTTTTGTTTTTGTGCTGTTTTTACATAAGATGAACTGTAAGTTGTTCAGACTCATGTTTTACTTTTAATCTAAGCCACGTTTAATTTAAATGTCTCTAAAGTTTTCTGTTCTTTGACTGATTGCCCATGTGTGCAAGGAAACAAGCTGCATTTCTATGCATTTAAAGTTACTGAAAATGAATTTAAATTGGAAACAATACTGA